CCTCTCCCCTTTCTTCAGAGGCACCACGCCCACCGCGGTGTTCTGAAATGATACACTGCCTTTCACGGTGCGGCCGACCCAAGGTCGCGAGGTTCTCGACGACGACGACGACGACGCGGAGCCCTCTCATTCTTCGAGCACGTTTTCGAGATATGAAATACGCGACGGGCAGCCTTCGAAGAAATGTTGATGCGAGAGCGAGTTCGCGTGGTTCGTCCGCTACCGACGGCGATAGACTTCCTAGAACTAGAGTCCTACGTAGAATATGCGGCGCCACCGGGGACACCTCCGGGGCGAGGTGTTCCTGCATGAGGTCCCCGGGGCGGGGCGGGGCGGGGCAGGGCGGGGCGCCGCTCACCGACATTCACTCCGCCATGATTGTGAACCCCGCCCCTCGCGGGCACGCTCCGGGCACCCCGCCCTGGTAGCTCTGTGTCGTTAAGCCCGCCCCGCCCCGCCTAGGCCAGCTATGCGTCCGGCCACGCCTAGCGCCGCCGCTCGGCCCCGAGCGGCCCGCCGCGGTCACCGCGCCCAGCCCAGCCAGCCCCAGCAGCGGGCGCGAGGGGGGGGGGGGGCAAATGAATTGGATGGAGATCCACCAAAGCCCAGCTGCGCCGACGGCCGTAATAGGAACTACCGGGATACCTGACGGGATAAAGGAGGACGTCCCCCGTTGAGCCTTCGGCTAACTTCGGCTAACTTCGGCTAACTTGGGCTAACTTGGGCTAACTTCGGCTAACTGCGGCTAACTTCGGTTACCTACCTTTGTCGGTCGGTGAAGACGAACTTGCGCAGCTTGAGGTCGCGCAGCACGATGCCGTTCTCGTGGCAGTGCCGCACGCACTCCGCCATCTGCCTGAAGAGGCGGCGCGCCTCCGACTCGCGCAGCCGCCGCCGGGTGCGCACGTGCGTGTGCAGGTCGCCGTGCGAGGCCGGGAACACGAGGTACATGTGCTTGGAGCCGAGCATCACCTCGCGCAGGCTGTTGAGCGCCGGGTGGCCGTCGACGCGGAAGTGCGCCGACAGCAGCGAGCCCGCCTCGCGGCCCACCACCTGCAAAGGAAGCACCACAACCAGTGAGACGGAGTTTGTCTGGGAAGGAAATGAGAGAAACATATGTCGAGGAAACATTCAGTACAAATCGTGAAACTCGTAGCACCCCCGAGGGGTCCTTCACTCAGAAAATCAAAGTACACCCTCCCAGAAAAATCAGAAAAACAGCACAAAAACAACACTGTAAAAAAAATCCATCTTAATTTTAATAACACATGTTTTGAAGCAGTTTACAAAACAAATGTGCTCTTAAATTTAAGAACAAAAAGTTTCTTAAAATTCAAAACATGTTTTGAAAATTAAGAACGTGTTATGAAACGCCAAAAATGCTTTTCTTTTCCAACCTTACGCAAATCTGGAAAATATTTAGTTCATTCCCCTAGGGGCAGATGTTTACACACCCAACTTCTTATTAAAGATGTTTATCTTACCTTACCTGGATGGATTCGAACCTCGGATCTTTGAGTTCGGATCCTGACGCCTTAGACCGCGTGGCTGTCGGGACATACCTGTGAGGGCAACGCTCGCACCCGACCTTATGCGGCGCTCCGTCCAGGTGCATTCCCAGAGTAGCTATGTGCTTGGTCGGACGGCGTATGTTTGTTCACTTGCTTTTTTGAAATATGGCAGTGGCATAGCTACATTACGCCTAACTAAATTCGATGTTGTTCACCCAATACTATATTGAACGCCATAATTCCATGTCCAGTGGTCAAAAGCTACATGACTTTTAAGAAGTGTTCTGAATGCTGGTATTAAAAGTAAGAATGGGTGTGACTTTTCAACACAATTTTGTCAAAACTAAGGAAAACTTTTGAATATAATAAACTTCTTATGAAATTTAATGACCCCTTAGTACAATTAAGATTTTTATCAGAATTCTCATATCATTGTTTGCAAAATTAAGAAAACTTCTTAAATGTCATAATCTGTTATTACGTTTAAGAACAACTGATAATGTTATTAAATTTAAGAGATATTTTGCTCTAAAATTTCAGAATATTTTTTACAGTGAAGGAAAATTCAATAATTAATTATAAATCTCAAAACATCCGTTAAAAATACAAAAATAAGGGTACGCCTGAATATATCAAATTTTTATTGAAGCACCCATCGGGCACTCCGCTCCCCACCGGCCCCACGGCCCAGCCTCGCTTCAGCTGATGAGCCGCCGAGCTCCCTTTCCATCCTCCTCTCTTTCTCTTTCACTACACCGGTCGCCGTGCGCGCGGTCCGGCCGGTGGATACCGGGCGGTGGTTCCCCGGCCCTGCCACGGAGACAACAACAGGAGCATCAGCCTCATGCCGCTGCTCGCCGCTGCTAATGCGTGACTCCTTGGTCCCCCCCCCCCCCCCCGTGGGTCCCTTATGACCCGAGCCGGTGCGAAGCCGAAATCCCCACCACGTGAAGGCCGGCACCTCGGCTGCCAACCGTAGTGCGGGCTGGGCTGTATCCGGGACAAGGCGTGACGGCACCAAGCGCACTTTGATTTATTTATTCCAGCAGAGTACGGAACGGTATATTTGCAAAGGCTCTCATTAACCTCTCTCTTTCTTTGTATCAGCAGCGCGGAGGAGGGCCGCGCGGGGCCCGCGGGACCATACAGAGATAACGCGGAGCTCTGCGAAGCGAGCGACGGGGAAGTCCAGCCCGCGACGTCAGCGCCCCACGGCGGCCGCCACGTGGCGCTGCCTGGCGCGGGCCACGCCGCCAGAGCACTGACAACGACAATGGAAACGACGTCAGGACGACTTCAATTTCGTCTTTTCGATGCCGCTACGATGTCGTTTCGACACCGCACGGTTCGTACACTGCGGGCGACGCCTCGACCAGCTGTTGCGTGCACGAGACCTCTCACTTCAGAATTATTTTAAATAAAAAGAGCGCTTCGAAACAAGGCGCGATTTTTTATTGGGTCATGTTTTAACGGCTGGTGAGCCGGTATATAGGTTCTAGTGTCAAAATCCCGCGAAGTGACAAGTCCCCTGGGCGGCGTGGCAGTCGGTGGCGCAATCCGTGACGTCGCGGGGTGCGGAGGAGGAGGAGGGGGGGG